TCGATGTGTGTGAACGACTTGTTCCAGGTTTGTGCCGTTGCTGTTCACACTATCCCGGATGCTTGTCGACATGAAACATACATAGCCCGCGTAGCAGGCGTTACGAAATAAATGGGCGCAAGAAAAAACGCGCGCGAGAGGAGACACGCGTGTCCCCTTACGTGTCTCCCTCGCGCGCGCCCGTTCTTTCTTGGGCCCATTTTTTTCCTAGCGCCTGCTACGCAGGCTAAAACATACACCGACTCTTCATAATACGTGATTTAAGAGGTAATCCATTAGCGCTGCGGTCATGTCAGTTTAATCGAAAAAAAGAACAGTTTGGTTTACCTAACTATCAGCAAATGTAAGCCGCACACAGCCGGTGATCAACACGTCTTTTTGGGGTTGTTTGTTCTTCTTTTGGAAGAAGATATGATACTCTTCTACTAGAATATACATCGTCCAGAAAGCTATTGTCTTCCGCGACATGTTCTTATAGTACCCAGTTCTTCAATGGGTGGCATAGAAAGATGGTGGTTGAGATTGGTCTCTATTTCAAAGCGAGGCTAAGTGCAAGACTATTGATGTATTAAACAATTGTTTATTCTCATGCAAATAAAACTCACTTTCACAACAAAAGTTTTGCCCTTAGCGTAGTTTACAAAGTGAGAATTTTCGTAACTCGGACATGGCTTAAAGCAGGATGTGTGAAATAATCTTGAGGTGCGATTAGCCTCCTACGCGGACGTTCTAAGGGGTTCATGAACAGGGGCAGGAACGCGTGACAAACCCTTAAGAACGTCTGCGTGGGAGGCTATCGAATCGATACCCTGCGAGCAGTGGTTTCTCCAGGCCGGACGCTAGAAACCACTGCTCGAGGAATATCGAATCGAAGGCGTAAAGAGGATTTTATCGCTGAATTCATGTGCAGCTATATTTTTTTTCCACCATATTTTTTGTCTCAAAGACTTTGCAAAACATAGATTTAAAACTGTATGCATGCTGTCTCCGATCGTTTTAATTTGTTTGAAAGAAACTTGGTTACTTTACTTTTCTGACCTCTGAAAAAAACGGGAAGGTGCAACATTTTAAGTAGCTGCACCGCCATATGACTAGAAATTTTCTGTGGTTACAGGTTTTGGTCATTTGTTATTTTCCCCTCTTTAATTTTACTTTGACGTTTTACCTAATATTGTAATCGGCAATGTCACTTATTCATATGGAAATGGCAATAAATTTAGGCTTTGTTGACATTAGTTCATACTGGATAGCTTTTCATGCAAACAAGAAAAGCAAACACCTATCCAATACGTTACTCTCCACTTTAGAGATCGGCGCATCGCAGCTTCGCTCCGTTACAGAAAATCGCGCAGAAATCACCGTTCTTATGCGTGGACAGGAGCTTAATCCGTGATTGTTTGTGCCAATTTTTAAGTTGCGCTTTTATGACTTTTCAGTAAGCCTTTTATTGTAAGACCTAAAAGCCCTGAACCATCTTGTTAGTGTTATTATTTAGAATTATCGGAACATTTCATTTCATTTTAGCGCATTGCAGGCAATATCAACACTAAAAGACAACACAAGGCCTTTGCTAACTTTGAAGAACGGAGATTGTTTTTGCACACCAGAAATCACGTAACACAGATGTATCGTTGTTTCATTGCAGTATCGCTCACATTTTTATATAAAAACGTACTCTGTGTGAAATGTGTTCTTCATAGTTCTAACAAGGTTTTCTGGGGAAAAACATAATTTCCTGATACATAGTTTCCTGATACTAACTTCCTGATACTTCATAATTTTCCTCCACTTTAATTTTAACTATGTTGGCATAAGATGATGGACTATGTAGTACGGACTTACAGTTTATAGCATTCTATTGGTTAAAATCTAAAATCTAAATAACGTATTTATTCGAATAAGTGCCCAACCTCGAATTAGTGCCCACCTCGAATAAGCGCCCATCCTAAAGGCAGAAAAAGTTGATAAGCTCCCAGCCTCGAATAAGCGCCCACCCCCACCGCACTCCCTCTTACACAAACTTCAATAAGAGATAATAAGGGACCCTCCTGAAGACGGAGTTTTCTTCAGAGTATTTTACAGAAACCTTGCTTTGTTTCATCTTTGCTTGTTGTTATTACCATTTATTGTTTTGTTGCAAAATAAACATACTACACTTGCTGAGAATAGTGAAAATTTAACACGCTCCCAGCCTCGAATAAGCGCCCATTCTCAAGGTCTAAAAATTTAATAAGCGCTCAGGGCGGTTAATCGAATAAATACGGTACATAAAAATCCACCAAACCAGTTTCTCATATTACGTTCCATTTTCTTAAGTCCTCGTCTCCGTTCCTGATTTTGTAATGAATAATCTTGATTCATTATCCATGCTTGTGAATACAATCACGTACTTTAGCGTTGTGCGCTTTTATTTAAAATCGTTGCACTTAAAGATTAGCACATTGTATTAACATTAAGCCTTGACAGTTGGAGCTTGAGAAATAAAATCACTCTCTTCTCTCCTTTTTAAAAAAATATTTTTGCTCTTTTCGGTACGCTGTATGATCACGGCTAGCAGGCATGAAGCTGACACTAATTTATCACTCGGCGCGTTGTTGTTATTCGGTGGCTTTTACTTGCATATAAATACGATCATATATCCAGGCAAAACTGATAATGAAGACAAAAAAAGACTGAAAATTGTATGCAGGGAATATAATAATGAAGCGAGACATTACTTTGTCTATCTGCTATGAAACGTTGCACATGATATCGGAGATCAATTACAATTAAAAAGCTTTTTTCAACACACCCGATTAACAAGTCTACGTAATAAAGAATATGCAAGACCTTAAAGTCGCAAAAAGGTTAGGGCATCTTCTTGCAGCCAAATGTAAATAAACAGATTCTTTTAGCAATCGAAAGGCGCTCAAGGCCAAGGGTGTGCCGGTTAAAGGTTTTCAAAATAGAACTTCATGTTTCACGTCCAAATAACCCTATTACAAGCTCGGGGCAAACACGAGAGTCGTTCTATTAGAAAATAATTGATTTTCACTATCAATAGGTACTGTTATAGGAAAAAAAAGTTGGAATATTTACCTCTAACACGAGTCTCATGATCCTTTTTGTAGTTATGCTATTTCCGACGATGGCAGAAAGCACTGGAACACATACTTTCATCACCCACCAATGAACGACGAACGTCACGCATAAACATACATACCATACCGTTCCGGGGGGATTGGGTCGCCTCCCCCGCAGAAGTCCTTTCGGGGTCGAGCCTTCAAAAATCGACCCTGTTAAGACAAAAAATTGGTCATTTTGCTACTTTATAAGGCAAAAGATCCTCCCTCCGCTCCCCTCCCCTAACATCACAACCATACCTGTTCAGCGACACATACCATATCCGTCCGTCCAGGTCAAATAAGGGAAAGCGCTCCCCCCGGGAACACCATACACCATTCTTCAATCGCCATGGTTTTGTCATATCGTCGAAAGAGATGGTGCAGCCCTGTGGGAGATGAGGTTAGCAATCCAGGCTTGAATATCGGCTTGAATTGCACCATCGTATTCTTACATCAATTATTTATTACTTGTTGTGCGCGCACAGTTTTATTTTGTGCGCGTGCATTATTTATTTATTTGTTTAATTGACGTGTACATTTAGTTCGTTTAAAATAAATAACGTCTTAATTTTACCTTGGGTTACCTCACTTATATGTGTTGTCCGTGACTGTGCTTATATTGTGGGTGGAATTGGTATAGGATTTAATGGAGCCGAAACCAATATTTTGTGGAATTGCACACATTTTAGGCATCCTAGTGAGGAACAGTTACGACACGCAGATATGTTTTTTAGCAACTACTGCAATTTGCAGTCTGTCCACCTTGAATCATAGATATTCTGGACATTCTAATAACTTTTATATTTCAAATCGGTTAAGTAGCTTCAGTAAAACAGTTAGTGTAGGAGTGTAAATTGACACTCCATAATATGTTAAAAAATTAAAAATTGAAATGAAATTTTAAAAATTTAAAATTATTAAATACAACACGAAAAAGTAAAAAACAGTACGCGACTCTCAAAAATATTGCCGTGTGCATGTGGCTTTCTGCAAGGAATAGTCCTCTCCTACCCCTCCCTAGAAAAACTAGGATCTCCCAGCTGTCTTTAGTAGATTCCAATATGGCCGCTCGCTCAGTACAGTCTCGTCAGGTAAGTGTGTATGACAACAAAATAAAGGCTTAGATTATACTTTGTTAGATAAATTCAGCAACCTTTTCCATTAGCAGCCATCCAAGAGGCCAACAGACACCTTTTTGTGAAATTGTGTCAGAAATTCTATTCAAAAGCAAACTTGGAATTAGACCGATGGTCTGTATCATCATTAGCGTAATTTTCGAAAACTAGTTTTGACTGATTGATTGATCGAATTTGCGCTTAATTTCTAGGCTGCGGTCATTTTAGATGGGATCCACACAGAAGTTATATGTTGCTGTTATCAAGACAGAATTTTTGTGATTGTTTCTCAATTTGAGAAGATTGGCACTTTGGTAAGACATAAACAAGCACTGCTTGATCAACATTGCCCCTTAAGGTGGTGTGTGTGTGGGGAAGGGGGAATTCACATATGAAAGAGATGTGGGTGCTTGTCAAAAAATTAGAATTAAACCAGCTAGAGGATGACCAATCTGGGTGCAGTTCAGGCTTTACTTGACCAGTAAAGGACAGGGGCGGATCCAGGATTTTTTTTAGGAGGGGGTGCACTCGTCTCTTATTCTACTTCAACACCAATAAACCACGTAGTTTTTTTATTTTTTTTTTTGCAGAATACCAGTTGTATTAGAAAACCGCAGGTCATCTAAGGGGGCGGGGGGGGGGGGGGGGGGGGGGGGGGGGGGGGGGGTGTGCACCCTCTGCACCCTCCCCCTAGATCTGCCCCTGAAGGAGGCCTATCCAGAGAATAGCTAACATTTGATGAACATGCTACCAGGGTTTCCCTGTAAAATGACATGTTATTGCCCAGATCTGGTAGAGCTTCTGATTGGTTGAAAATTTGCTTCATTCAATCTGATGCAGATCTGAGTGGTAACACATCATCAGTATGGAATTTTTGTGCTACTTCCTCAGTTATCATTTCGCAGTGAAACCAGTAGCCTGCGAAAACAGCCGTTTCTCCTCGCTCTTCACTGCTGGGGCGTTTTGTGCAGAGGAACATCTGTGTCTCAGCAACAGAAATTCTATAGAAAAAAATTCTATATAAAACCTGCCTAGAATCCGGTCAGACGCGCTGATAGGGAGACGGTGTAGTTACACTGTTTTAGTTACTGTTTATGAATGACAGACAAAAGACAAAAGGCCACAAAGGTCAAATGTAAGCAATGGATCTCTAACAAAACAGTCAGTATTTGTGGAATATAGTCTTGTCTAGAAGAAGCCTTTGAGTTTTGCCGGAGCTCATTAGCACATGAACACAACACTTTACCAAAATCAACCAGGAGAAACGTAAAATTGAACAAATTTGCATTTGGAACCCCATGACTACCGGATTTATAATGTTAACATTGATTTACATCATCAGTATGGAATTTCTGCCACTGAGTCACAGACGTTCCTCTGCATGAAATGTCCCCATTGGCGAAGAGCGAGGAGAAGGGACTGTTTTCGCAGGCTATGAAACCAGTGGTGGTGTCATAAAATGTGGACTAAAGGAGACTAAATTCCTACACAGCATCATGCCATTTGTTTTTTTGTATAGATACTTCCTTTATGCACAACCCTATAGGGATACCTTTATGAGTAAAAATATGGGCTTGCTGTTCACAGATAAGTGTAAATAAACTGTCCAGCACCAAAGATGCTTCAGCCACAGGGACGCAAACATTCAGCACTAAAACACTTATAGGGATTGATGAGGTATGTATTATATTTCCCTTTTTGAAAAATATAGGTTATCAGTAAAAAGCTGTAATAATAATATTGAGGTTGTGTTGTAGACAATGCTCCACTGGATGTGATTGGTTGTAATGGGTTTAGTCCTGGGTTGGGAGCACACTGCTGGGACTATAGAATCCTTCAGACCATTTTCAGCTGGATTTTGGAGCCCTCATCCTTATGCAGTGGAAGAGAGTGAGAACCTTCTTCCTGTCTGTCACTCCAGGGTCAAGCATGAGAGGACCCTGGGAATGAGTTTGAACACAACTTAGGGTTGTGACTTTGTCTCAGTGCTGGTATGATTTATCTTTCAGGAAATCTGGCATGTTTATGCCAAGCAGATAGCAAAGCTGATCAGTGAGAGCTCTAGTAAGCCAGTTCTTCTGGGTATTGCCCTCAAGAAACATTCACCACAGATTTTACAGCAGATCCTACATCTTCTGCAAGCAAACAGAGTTTGGTGAAACTTTTCTGTGAATACGTCAAAGGCAAATTAACTAAATATAAGAAAATCATTGCTGAATTAACCCTCAGTCAGGGAATTATTTGAATTATTTTCAGTTTTTGTCAAACATCAAGTAATAAAACCGTTCCTGGAATTTCTCTTGGGAAATGTCAAAATAGAATTAAAAACATGCCAATGCTGAACACAGACTGAGGCAAATGGTTGAATGACCTGCCAGGCAAAAAATTTTTCTCTAATGCACATGACAAGACCATTGTTAACAGGCAGCTACGAGCTGTGACAAAATGACACTCAACCAATCCAAACTTTAGAATAAAACAATTACTCATTACAAATGATAATAATAATATATATTTTCTTTTTTAATTCTGACAACTCTTATGGCAAAGTAAGAAAAATGCAGATTTTGTAAAAATATTTTTTGTTATTAATTACTCAACAAATTCACATATAATTATGATGGATGTCATTGTGGATCTTTGTTAGTGCATGACATTTTACAAAAAGCATTAGTTTTGTACAAAATACTTTCTTATTCTATTCACTCCTCTTTGTATTTACAGTTAGACAAAGATGTGTATAATGCTTTGGTTTTAGCTAACAACAGAAAACGTCAATAAATACATGTAGTCTACATCAATTTGTTTTAGTACATAAACAAACACAACATGCTCTAAACAGCAATGTTAGCCCAGGGAATGAAAGGCAACCATGAAACTAAAATCAAGAAAGCCATTTCCCCAGAGGGGGGTGGAGCCAGGGTGGGCGGTACTCCGAAATTTCAAGTGACGGGGATGATTGAAGGCCTTTTAAGGGTGTGCAATTTTTTATTCCGGAATTTTTCGGGTAGGACAATTTGGCAAGTTTTTTTGGGGTGGCTTGATTTAAGTAGGGATTTTTTTCAGGGAATCAAACCAATCTGAATACTCGTGGTAGTGCCCGCATATCCCAGCCGCAAACACAAACATTCAATGTCTAATATATTTTTGGGGTTATTTCATTTAACCTTTTCTGGAGAATTTTAAGGCTTGGAAATTTGGCAAAGGAGTCTTAGGGGTTAATTTTTGGTCCAGGTATTTTTTTGGGTTTTGTTGAAAGGCCTTTTTTGGGGGGGGGGGGG